GTAAGATGTCTTAAGAAAAACGTAAGTCTAAATCAAAACAATGGCTTCAGAGAGGGATCGGCTGGCCTAATTAAGGGCAACTGTATTTTTGGGATCCCAAGTGGTGATCTTGGTAGCTTTTCTTGAAGGGCAAAGGAACATCATGGGAGTTTATTAGGAAAAAGCTTTAAAAACTTTTAAAACAGCACTGGTGAGAAAAACAAGATGGGAAAGTTGAGCTCAGGAATTTGCTTTCTTCCATCAGAACAAGGGCTGCCCTGGGAGGATTTTGCTGCTAAACCGTACCTCATCCACACCACAGCCCTCATCTTGCATTTTCAAATGTCCTTTTGTTCCCCAAACTCAAAGAGTTTTACAAGAATGGTTCTTGGCCAGGTGACCTCCCAAAAGACAGGATTTGGAACTGCTCTGGGTGCAAGTATTTCTTCGTTGTGCCATGACAGAAATGTCTTCCCTGCTCTTGGGATGTGGATGGGGGTCTTCTTCCTCTCACACGTTTCTATTTTTGTCTTTAATACTGATATGACCTGATCCTTACCACCTTAGTGCGATGGATTTGTTTTTCATTGTTTTCTGTTGGGTCTCCCAGCAGGGGAGCACAGAAGGAGGTATGTACAATGATAATGACTGATACAAGGAGTTATAGGGGTGCAGGGGTTGGGGGCGGGAGATGGGGAGGGAAAGGGGATTTTGGGAATGGATAATGAGGGAGGGAGGGAGCACTAGAACTTACCGTGATAGCACAACTCATACTGAAGGTGATTTAACCAGAGAGGGTGGGGTGGGAATGCTGTAAGATAGATGTGATGGTGACTGTAAAATTCCCCTTGATATGACTGAACGACTGAACTACTCAATCGTATGATATGTAAACTATGTGCCAATAAAACTGTTGCAGGGGAAAAACCCCCACTATTTGTGCCCTTCAAAGTGTAATTCAAAGCACACAGAATTCATCAGAGAAGCATTAGTGAGATCGAAGCACTGCCTTTAGAAGTATAAAGATCTAGATAGTGAATATGTTGAGAAATCATAGTTTTGATGTTTTTATTTCATGGAAGTCCCTATGAATTTGTAGCAATACTTTCTGACTTACCTTCATATATTACTTAAAAGTTTCATTTTTACCGATTTAAGTCCCAAAGAAACATGCAAGATCCAACTCAACATTGATCATGCTTCCGAACTGCTATTTATCATCACAGGGGATAAGTGATGATACTGGAGCTTCCTGAATTCTGGATTTGTACTCCTTTTTTTAAGTTTCATTGGCACTTCATCTATATATCCTACAATTCACTCGTTCACCCACATCAAGACAAGTTGTACAATCTTTACCACAATCAATTTTAGAATTTCTTTATCCCCATTCTCATTGTTACTCATGTAATTTTTTTTCCCATTTTGGCAAAAATATACACAACAAAACATTGGCCAATTCAACAACTTCTACATGTATAATTCAATGCCACTGATCATATTATTCATGCTGTAAACCAGTATTGTTATCCCTCCCCAAATTGTTCACCACCATTAAAATGAATACAGTGCCCCTAAGCAAAAATGCGTCCTCTTTTGCCCATGGGACACAACTCTTACCTCCAGTAAAGCATCAGCTGATTCATGAAGAGAAAGGATCAGGGACCCTATGCGAATCATATTGTTGACATAGGAAAGGCTGATCAAAAAAACAGCTACAATATGGTGCAGGAATATAATGCCAAAGTCCTTAGGTAAGGAAAAAAACACAGTCATATTAGAGTTTAGCAGTATCACAACATTTCTATTCAACCATTCAGCCATTCAACCAATATTTACCTGGAACCTCTATGGACCAAGCACTGGGAAGACTAACTGAACAAGATGTAATCCCTACTCTCTGAAATTTCACCCCACAGGAGACTCATAGGAAACCTGTGCCTGTTAGGAATACCAAAATTCTAGGACATGGGCAGATCTTAAAGTTCCTTGGTATACTAAACCAAGGAATTTGAACCCATCTTGAAAGCCTAGAAGGCATTCCTGCAAGGCTTCAAACAAAGGAGGGCTCTTAAGGATTTGGATCTTAAGAAGACACTTTATGGAGCACGGCAGATTCAATGGGAGCACCTGCTTGTGGTTGGGACTTTTGAAAGTTTAGGTCATGTTTGAGACCAAAGTGTGGCATCTTTGTGGGAGAAGGCAGACTAAGGTCAGAAGGACAGGGCATTGGTCGGATTTCAGACCCAGGGAACTGAGAGGCTATAGAGAGGTCTGAGAAGCCACAGAGTAAGGTTTAGAGAGGTGATTCCTCTTTCTTGTTATCTCATAGGTGCTTGTAATGTGTATCTCAATGTCTACCATCCTTTTCTTGAATTATGCCCACTGGGATGCTAACAATAAGAATCCTAACACACTGGCTTTTCTTCTGGGCCCTATACAAGCAAGCCCTGAATTTTAAATGTTATCTGTCCACATCCATAAGAAAAGAAATATTTGATAGAAGAAATAATAAATTGGCTCTTCTTTAGTTAATTTCTTCTAACTTTAGTAAATTTAGTTAATTTCAAGGGGGCTGCTTCTTGACCACCAGGATCACTAGTATGTATGGTTACATGCTGGGTGGCTAACTGCAAGGTCAGCAGTTCACAACCATCAACAGCTCAGAGGGAAAAAGATGAGATTTTCTACTTGTGTAAAGAGTTACAGTCTCAGTAACCCACAAGGGGCAGGCCCGCCCTGTCCTATAGGGTGGCTAGGAGTCGGATGGATCCCATGGCAGTGAGAGACCGTCACCTTTCTCTGGCGATGATTTATTTCTGGACTAAAGTTTGTTATGACATGGGATTTCTGTTGCTTCGAAATATCATCTCTGTTCTAGTGATATGCTTATTTTTACTTAATCTACATTTCTTCCAGAGTAAAGTTCTTAGAGACTGAAATGCCAAGACTGGTTTTAACGGTGTTGCACTTGAAACTTTCAGAGGAGGACTACTCTCCTCTAGCCTATGTATGTGAAGACAAAAAAAAAAAATACCAAAAAAGAACAGCATATTACAAAACTGATCTATGAACAGACTGTGGTCACACCAAAGGGTTAAACCTGAGGGAACTTTTTCTATATTTTTATTCTGGAAAGTCAAGAATCACATATCCATTAAAAATATTTATTGGGCATTTATAGTGCTCTAGATACTGTTCCAGCGCTCTAGATATAGTGCTCTAAGCTTTGAACAATGCTTCAGTCAGAGTTCTGTCTTTGTTATATATTCTAACGGAGAAAGACTGACAGTAAATAATGAACATAATAAGTAATTGATCTTTTATGTTAGAAGGTTCAGCGATTCAGGTAGGATTCAGAAAAGGATGTGGAACAAGGGATATCAGTTCTGATGTCAGAAGGATCTTGGCTGAAAGCAGCGAATGCCAGAAAGATGTTTACTTGTGCTTTATTGACTATCCTAGGCATTTGGACATGTGGGTCATAACAAACCACGGATGGCCTTAAGAGGAATGGGACTTCCAGAACACTTCGTTGTGTCTATGTGGAACCTGTATATGGATCAAGAGACAGCGGTGGGGACAGAACAGGGAATGCTGCATGGTTTAAAATCAGGAAAGGTGTGGCCAGGGTTTAATCCTCTCACCATACTTATTCTATCTTTATGCAGA